GGTCGGTCGACATAATTCTCTTGCGATTTGCTTTTTGAGCAGTTAAACTGCAACCAATGTTGATTCGCAGAAATATGAACATGAAATTGCAAAAATCCGTCAATTTCCTCCAAGTAACATGAATGAGATGGGCAGCAGATGGGGTCGGTCGACCGTACTCTGTTGAAATTCAGGGTAAAACCAGTGGATCTTCCTCCTATGCTGAATCGTAGAGATGTGAACATTAAATTGCAAGATTCCGTCACAATTTCGCCAGAAGACATATATGAGGTCGGTATCAGATGAGGTCGGTCGACATTACTTACTGTGTTGCCAATTTGCTTCACAAGCAGTTCATCTGTAGGCGATGTTGAATCGCTGAGATACGAAAATAAAAATTACAAAAATCCATCACAATTATGCAAGACGACACGCCTCAAATGGATATCCGCATGGGGTTCGTCCAAATTACTGTGTTGCCATTTGCTTCACAAGCAGTTAAACTGCCACCGATGTTGTATTTGGGAAATAAGAACATAAAATGCAAAAATCCGTCATTCCTATGGCAGGCGAAACTAATTACGTGGGTATTAGCTGGGGTCGGTCGACATAATTCTCTTGCGATTTGCTTTTCGAGCAGTTAAACTGCCATCGATGTTGAATTTGAAAAATATGAACATGAACTGCACAAATGTCACTCTTATGCCAGGCGACACTAATTACATGGGTATCAGCTGGGGTCGGTCGATATTACTGAGTTCCCACTTGCTTCACAAGCAGTTAAACTGCCACCGATGTTGAATCCAAGAAAAATGATTATTGAATTGCACAAATCCGTCACAATTCCGCCAGACGACTCGCCTGAGTTGCATATCCGCTGCGATTCGTAGACATTACTGTTTTGCCGTTTGCTTCACAAGCAGTTCATCTGTAGGCGATGTTGAATCGCTGAGATACGAAAATGAAATTGCAAAAATCCATCAGTATTATGCAAGAAGACATGCCTCAAATGGATATCCGGGGCGGTTCGTCCACGTTACTGTGTTGCCAATTGCTTCACAAATAGTTAAACTGCCACCGATGTTGTATTTGAGAGAAACGATCATGGAATAGCACAAATCCGTCACAATACCGCCAGATAACATGCCTTAAGTTGAAATCCGCAGGGGTTCGTTGACATTGCTTTCTTTGAATTCACGTTAAATCCAGTGGATCTGCCTGCAATTTTGAATCCAAGGGAAATGATCATAGATTTGCAAAAATCCGTCACAATTTCGCCACAAGACCCGTATGAGGTGAAAATCCGCTGGGGTTCGTTCACATTACAGTGTAGCTTCACAACTTCACAAGAAGTTTATCTCCCACCGATGTTGAATCTAAGAGAAATGATCATGGAATAGCTCAAATCCGCAACTCTTAAGACAGGAGACACTAATTAGGAAGGTAGCAGCAGGGGTCGTTCAACCTTACTTTTTTGCTATTCAGCTTATAACCAGTGGATCTGCCTCCGATGTTGAATGCAAGAGAAATGATCATGGGATGGCACAAATCCAACACTATTCCGCCAGACGATATGCCTGAGGTGGATATCCGCTGGGGTCGGTCGACATAATTCTCTTGCGATTTGCTTTTTGAGCAGTTAAACTGCAACCAATGTTGATTCGCAGAAATATGAACATGAAATTGCAAAAATCCGTCAATTTCCTCCAAGTAACATGAATGAGGTAGGCAGCAGATGGGGTCGGTCGACCGTACTCTGTTGCCATTCAGGGTAAAACCAGTGGATCTTCCTCCTATGCTGAATCGTAGAGATGTGAACATTAAATTGCAAGATTCCGTCACAATTTCGCCAGAAGACATATATGAGGTCGGTATCAGATGGGGTCGGTCGACATTACTTACTGTGTTGCCATTTGCTTCAGAATCAGTGCATCTGCCACCGATGTTGAATCTGAGAGAAATTACCAGAAAATAGCGCAAATCCGTCACGATTCCGCCAGGCGACACTAATGAGTATGGTATCAGGTGGGGTCAGTAGACCTTTCTCAATTGTCATTAGCGTCAAAACCAGTGGATCTGCCTCCGATGCTGAATCGCATCAGGGTGACGTCGAAATTGCGAATACCCGTCTTCTTTCAAGAAAAAAATCACTCGGGAGGTGCGTATTCACTGGGGTCAATTGAACTTTCTGTGTTTTGGCACTAGTCAAAACACCAGTGCATCTCTCTACGATGCTGAATCTCAGAGATATAAACATTAAATTGGACAAATCCGTCACATTTCCAATAAAAACGACATATATGAGGTGTTTCAGCGTGCGTCGATCGAACTTTCTCTGTTGCAATTCGCCAAATAACCAGTGGATCTGCCTCCGATGCTGAATCGCAAATGGATGACGTCGAAATTGGGAATATCCGTCTTCTTTCAAGAAAAAAATCACTAGGGAGGTGGGTATCTGCTTGGGTCGGTCTACCTTTCTCAGTTGCCATTCGCGTCAAAATCAATGTATTTGCCTCCGATGCTGAATCGCAAATGGGCGAAGTCGAAATTGCGATGATCCGTCTTCTTTCGAGAAAGAATCACTAGTGCGGTGGGGCTTAGTTGGGGTTGATCGACTTTCACCTGTTGCCTATCTATTCAAAGCAAGTTTAAGTGTAATTGCACAGATTCGGCATGTTTCTATCATGCAGGTTATCAGGGGGCGATTAATTATTTTTAGCTATGATACGCGCGTTTCTGCTTACCATACACTAAGATGGGAAAAGAGGATCTTTCTAGAGATGAGCACGCCAACTTGAGCACGTCAAACAAAGCCTAGTTTTGCTGTGGTCAGGGCTAATTCGTGAAAATACAGTCCTAGTCGGAACATGTTTGCTACATGGTAAATAGTTTTCTCTTGTTTAATTTTATATTCCTCTTGTCCACGAGTGCCGAGTGCCGTGAAGGGTTTATATATTTATGAACCCTTCACGGCACTCGCTTTGCCCTGCTCCTTGCCTTTTTCCCGCTTTCGACAAATGTACTGATTCACGGGGCCACAATCTTAATTGTGAATGAGTTCACATAAAGAAACGTTCAGAAGAGAATGGGTGTGACTAAGGGAGAATCTGCTCCCTTCGAGACATCCATTCGCGATCGCTTTCTTCACTTTCCCGACATCCAGTTACGTGGCATTCAATTGTTCAGTTCAATTATAACACTGCATTCAATATTCACTATTCCTTGAATCCCACGTGCCTCTAATTTAGCCCTTAACCTATTGTATTTAAAGTTTGACGAAGTCAAATCATTCGATGTCGAGGGGATTCACTCATATTTAATACGTCATCCAATCTTACAATTCGAACGAATTTGTAATCAATGTGGAAAATGTAACTTTTATCTCTTACTTTCATTGGCAAGTGGGTGATAAGAATATTCTACACAATGACGTTGCGAAGTTTGGGTTGGTGTGCCGTTTGCAACGAGCAAACTCGAAAGTCTCCTGTGACATGAAAAAGGTTGTGAAGGAGAGTGAAATTTTCATTACCATCCTACTTTAAATGCTTCTTTAGGTGGAGGTAACAGAAAATCCAGATATACTCGCCGACATATAAATGTATTTCTTCTTAGCAGTTTTATATTTTCTGACAATGAACAAAATAATGTATACTTGTGCATCCAATGTTGCTACACTAAATGCATGACTCCTAAGGCTAAAGACATTTAAAAACATACACAATACAATCTGGATGATTGCAAGGGGAGAATGATTGTCTTTTCAGACAATTCAGGCCCACTAAAAGACAAAACAGCATGCAAACACTATGAAGACCAGTCTCTTTAATTTCAATTTTAAAATCATGTCAACCATTTGTCACAGAGAAGAGAGGCATCACAAAAAAAATGCCAGCCGTTTCCCATGATCTCTTCAATTGACCCAAGAGAAGAGATGCTCAAGCAGTCATCTGTTCACTGGTGCCATCCTTGTCAGCATCCTTATCCTTTGGGGCATCAGGTATAGTGCCATCCTTGTCCTTGGAGGTGGAGAGGGTAACAAGAGGCACCCTTCGACCAGTCTTCTTGGATTTGGGACTACTCAATGTAATCAGAGTAGCTCGCTTTCCTTTCTCTTCCTTCAGAGTTAATGCCTCCATGGCTTCCTCCCTGGAGAGAATGAAGATAACAATGGAGAGTCCTCTATGCACATGGCAAGCACCAATAGCAAAATCATGGATTTAACTTTTGGTTTACAATGAATGGGTAAAACTGAAATAGCAAACATGAAAAATCTCCCATACAAACCAAAAGCATGAAATAGACGACACCCATATCAAAGCCAAAAAGGAATAACATATTTATCTGTACCCATTATTAGCTGGACCTGTGTGCTTCTCATCTGAGCAGCCTTGACTACTACTAGGTGCAGATCTTGGAGGATCCTTCTTCTCATCTTCTCTGAGTTCTTCCTCCATTTCTTCTTCTTCTTCCTCTTCTTCAGCAGCATTATACTTCTGTTCCTCTTTATATGGTTTTCCAAGTTCACCAGCTGAAAATGTGATGACAGAGCAGTATCCATCTGTTGAAGACACTATCAACAGTCTCCCATCTGCTGACCTGAATACATGAAAATATGTAACTGTCAGAAACAGGAATATTCAGCAAGGCTCAAACAGCTTGGGAGACAGGAAAATAACTGACCAGGCACAGTCAGTGAGGCGGGTATAGTGAATATTGGAGATGAGAGCAACAGGAGTCTCCTGCTCAGTATTGTAGATGAGAAGAGAGTCTTGGGTGATGACAGCCACAACTACATTGTATGGAAGGTCATAAGGTCCATCTTCTCGAGTGCGTTCAAATAACTGCGGACAAACTCTCACTCCAAGAGGAATTTTTTCCTTCCCACTTGGCAGATATGCCACTGGCCTGCAACAAAGACAGTCACTGAGTGACAATTGAAACTGAAATGAGTTTGAACTGGAAAGAACAGAAAAATAATTGCATGAATAATTGCAGAAAACTTGACTCTGAATCACCTGCATCAACAGCAAGCATTCAAAAGCACTCTGTACCATGTCTTCCCTGAAACAAGATATTTGCTCATATCTTTCTTTTCATTTGCACTCATTACAGGACTGCAATAAAGACAAGGAAACTCATCTCCATGCCATTGGCATAGACATTGGGGGTTGGAAAAGAGGATTTTCCTAATTTTCTCCATCTGCATTCATGAAAAAGCATAACTGTGAAAACATAAGGCATTTCTGAAAACAGAATGGAATCGTCTGTGGCAGCATGGCAAGGTGAACAATTTTTTGTGAATCAGAGTATTTTCATTGTGATCAACCCCAAACAACTTAATTTGAATAATTTTTCCCTTCATCAAAACTACATTAAGCTCGTATTTCCCTTTGGCTACTCATTTTCTGAACCTCATGGTAACAAACATCCTCATGATTCAGCATGATTACAAATGCAATGAGGTTGATACAACTCTTATGATAATTTCAGGAAGTAGTTAAGGTCTTGTGGTGATTTTCATTCCAGAAGCTTTGAAGTTGGCATATTAACTCCAAATTTATTTTCTTTTGTATTTTCAGAACACCAAAGGCCTTGGATCAGGACAGATGAAACTCAGAGATAAAGGGATGGAAGTGTAACATTTTTGGAGTTCATGTGTCAGCATGGAAAAGAGTTATGGGAAGGAAAAACCTGATGGGAGAGGTCCATTTCATAGCAACATCATTAATACTTTGATGTATCACAATTCATAGAAGTGGAGCATGAATGTAAATGAAAGAATATTTCTCACTCCAACTTAAAATTCCAAAGTCCATTCAGATTTGATGGTGAAATAAACAAATCTATTTGCTAAAGTACCATTATGTACTTTCCTTCTTTAGGATCCTAGGAACTAAAGAGTCATAAAGAGTCATGAATGAGACTTGAATGGCAGGCCGTCATTGGATAAAGTTAATATCAAATGCTTGCTATGCATGATGTACTGTTTCTAAATGGGCCTGTATAAATGTAAGTCTCCTTGGCTGAGACAAACATGTTAAGTTCCCTTCCACTCTGAGGGCTCCATTTGCCATTTTAGAGGCATTACTTTTATCTAAAGGGACCTTGGTATGGCAGAACAAGGAGAAAAAGGGACTGACTAGACACCAAGTGAACATGAGAATAATGAGGTTAGTGACATCTTATCTCAGTAATGAAACATTGTAGAGCAATTACTGAAGTAAATTGTTTTACTGAAATTTATATGAGCATAAATTTGTTTAATTTTTTACACATCAAGACCCTTTCTTTTGTTCCTTTGGAACAACACTGCTTGGATGCAAACAATAACTTCAATACAAGGACACAAGTTAAAACAAACTTATGGGGGCTTGAAGTGAAGTCACTTAAATTTGTAGCTGCCAGACAAAGGCCCCACTATCACTTTGCATGGGAGTTAACATTAGTGACAACACAAGTGAATGTAGCATTCCTGATTCCTGTGGCATAACTTAGGCTTCCCAGGAAATTTCATGTAATACATCAATTGCACAAACTCATATCATCATAACTTTTTACACCATAACTTGCTGTAGTCATAACTGAATGACTGAAGTCATGACGAGTCAAAATGTTAGGTACAACACCTCCAGTAGAATTCTGATGTATTTCAGAAACTGGAAGGCACCTGGCTAAGGAATGACGGGAGAAGACAAGGCAGGCATAGATGGGAGGCAGATCATTGGAAACATCTGAAGTTGATGGGGGTTCCAAAACCCCAGTGGGAACAAAGAGGAGATTGCCATCTGGAGAGAAGCCAAGTCGTCGGCTAAATGTTTGCAGCGTCTCATCATGGAACAACCTCTGTAGCCCTGGGTCTTCTTTATCTTGGTTCTCCATTCCTGAAGACAAAAATGTTGTATGAGCAGTCTGCATGAAATGAGAGAAGATGAGATGGTTAAGTTCAGTCCAGATGTCAGCTTCCATCTACTTAAGATGGGCCTCTCCAGAGAAACTTAAGGGCAATGGAATGGAGGAGTGTGGGTAGAAAAAAGGAATAGGGAAATCATGCAGTCCAACCAAAGACACATTCATCAAGAAATGTGTAAGCCCAACTTATACATTAGAGTTGCTTGAATTGGAATGGAATTGTGGAAGAGGAAGGATATGCACATTAACCTCTACATTACTAAGCAAGTACCAGAGGCAGAAACATGGAGTGGTTTCACAATTCCCCCCCCCTCCCTTCAATCTTCCATCAGATATTAACGCTCTTGATCCCATTCACAACCACTAGGAACTGCAAGTAAAATGTCACTATATAAATCTACAAGGGTTATTAAAAAATAAGTAATAAACTGATTTGGCAGACACACTAGGGTAGAGAGCAAGAATTTATTTTTCCACATAATAACCATGTACATTCCACCTGTAAGCTTCCACCATAGGTAGAAGATAATAGGGATGTACTTAGGAATACCATTGTGTGTTGTGTAGTGATAGGAATGGCATGGAGAGATATATCTGAATGTCAAGGGTTCAGTGGTGCAGTGGTTAGCTTTAGGAACACCTATCTATCAGGAGGCCTGAATTTGACTCCCAGCAATTCCCTGATATTCTTTCATCCTCTTGTGTCATCCAACTCTCCCTGCAAATGGCCCTAGCATTACAGTAGCCCTAGGCAACCTTGAGCCTATTACATGATGGTAAATATAATTTACAGTTAGTGATGTCTTACCTTAATTAAGCTCATTTTGAAAGAGATACTCATCCCAAGAGGAGAAGGCTTTTGTAGCCTACTCAGAGTGCTATAAGGTAGTCTTAAACTAGTTGAATAAAACCAAACTATAGGTCAAGAACCCAAGTCCCATTTATTCAATCATCCACTCAAAATTCAAGACTCTCATCATTCATTTCAGGTCACAATGTTTGAGGCTTAAACAACTAAGATTAACTAACATATATTGGCATTAGAAATGCCAAATTTTGAGTGAAAATATGAGTAACTAGAAACCAACCCAAATTTCATAATGGTCAAAACCAAATCTGAAGATGACTCAGAAACATGTTTCTCACCTGGGTATGGAATGTTGCTCTTGTAAATTCGATGTAGGACCTTCTCCTTCTTGCGACTATAGATCCTAAGTATCCTGTGCAAAAGTATCAACCCAGCATGAACCTCATAACAGTTGCTTTTGCATTAAGACCTCTTTTGCTTCATCAATAGTGGTTCAAGAACTACACCTCCATTGCTCCATTACTAGCTAAATTTGAAGATGAGGCAGTAGAGTTCAACGTACAATTTGCATTAAAATCTGATAAAAAGGCAATTCAAGATAACCAACAAAACAATTACAACTAATGCATAGCAATTCAACAGCACACAACTTAGAGATGAGATCATATCAGGCAAAAGTTCATACCAGCAACTCCACGATCTTAAACTTACAACCATGATAGCATGCTTTTCACTTGGGTCAGACAATTTTTCACTTGACTTGGACACTCATGCATGGGATGTTCTTCAAAAAGGAGTGTCTAAGTTGAAAATTGTCTGACCCAAGTTAAAAAGCATAAGAATTTTCAGAATGCAAAGCAGAAAACAACTTGTACCTTTATGTCTTCTTCAATGAGGAGGCAAAAACAGCTTCAAGTACAATCCCCATGATTCCCATTGCAAAGGGAAATTAAAATACCACAAAATTGGATGCCAGAGACATACCTATCAGTTGAAAGAGTGGCTAGGAGGTGATCTTGTGGGTCCCAGGCTACACCTTGAACAAAACCCTTGTGCTCCTTCAACAGTGCCTTTCTTGACCCTAAAGTACCAGTCATTCTATCATTCATATTATTTATCATAAATGAATCACAACAGTGGTTTCATGAAAAAGTTTCAATTGTAATGAGAAAGCTGATCATCCATTCCTTGGCACAACAGAAATCAATGAAATCAGTGCAAGGATTTTCTAGGTGGTTCAAAGATAAAGGAAGGCAGGGGAAAGACAAGGAGCAAAAATGAGACAACAAAGGAATGTCAAAAAGGACTGTTTATCTACAGAACCACATTGGTCAGTGTTCAATGACATGAATACCTCAAATACTGCCAAGAGTTCATTGAGAGCATTCAAGAGAGGATTGTTATCAGTCATTGTTTGGAAACTAGAAATCAAGATCAGCAGATTCTGATATCAGTCCATTCCCATGTGGAAGTCCTCAAGTTCAAATATGGAAAGCTTCTGCTACTCATGAAAAATGAAGATCTCTAATAACAAATTGACAATTTACTAGTATTGGAACTCACCCTTATGTACATCCCATATGATGGCAGAATTGTCAATGGAACCAGAGAGCAAAAAATTGCCATCTGGAGACCAGGAGAGATCATAGATATCTTCAAGATGCCCTCGGAGGACTTTCCATACATTCCACTTCTCCTTCCATTGGGATTCTGACTCCTTGTCAGAGAAAATATCAGGTGCTGAGCTTTCCCCTTCTTGCTCACACCAGAGACAGATCACAGCTTCTGAAATGCCATTGAAAGATTAATCCTTTACCTTGAGTCACAGAGACATATAAGCCTTCTCATACTGAGAAGATGGCTTGCAAATCAAACCCACCATCATCAGCAGAAGCTAACACTGTGCCACTGGGTGAGAAGCGAAGAATATTGACAGCTCGATTGTGACGGGTAAGGTCAGCCATGCATTCCAACTCAGCATATCCACGATCTGTCACCTTGACAAGCCAGATCTAAAGGAAGAGAAAAAAATAAAGTCAAAGGCTCTAAAAGATACATAAAAACACTCAAGTCCTACTGTTACCTGGCAGAATATAGGAATGGAAATGTCTGCTCAATGTTACCTAACAGAAAAATAATATATGATTTTATGAGAAATGAGTATATATGATATATAGGACAGGGGTTGTGCTAGGACTCTTGCCTTGACTTCCTGCCCATACATCCCAGGGGTCCCAGGACCCCTGGGACACAGGCAGAAGGCCCAAGACTGCTGGATTGAATATCATACTGCTTGGTTATGTTAAGTCGGCAAATACACACAAATTGATAGACTTTTCCTTTTGGGGAACCCTTCAAGTTTCCCTTGTGTTTCACTTGGAAAGTAAACCCCTTAATTATCAGGGGACCCTTCCACATCAGACCTGAGGGTCCTGGGGACCCCTACAGCAAGAAACCTAGCACAACCCCCGTGGGGGCACATATAATATATGCCCTTATATATGTGTGTTCATATTTCATTACATGAAAAATGTATTAATTTATGAGGCAGAGAAAATAGCATATAATTACCGTATATTATCTTTCTGTATGGGTAGTCCTCAGAACAAGGCATGGCAAGGACCCAGATAGGCCTGAGATTGTTATGTTGTAAGGTTACTTGCTCTAGCAACTGCAGAGAGTTAACAGGTTGACCACCATTAGGTGCACCAGTGTGCCTCACTGAATGGGAAAATCAATAGGCCAGCATTTCCATGGCAGACGTGTTAAACCACAGGTTTATGGCAGACCCCAAAATCCTTAAATTCCTTTTTACAGGCTTCTGCTCTCCATAAATGTTGATTATACAGCTTTGGTTTTTGGTTGGAGAGGACAAGGATTCCAAATATTCACCATACACACATCAAGGAAGCAATTTTTTGGGAGCCATAGTACATCAATTTTGCAATATTCTTCATATAAGTCTAAGGGGGTTCCACTTTCCCAGTGGTATGATGAAGTGGGTTTTGGGGTTGCCTTCTAGATATGAATAGAGCTTCTCAGATTCTGGACATGTATCTCTATCCCTTATTACTCCTCTTTCAAATGCAAGAAGAAACTACATTTTCAAATTATTACATTAAGATTGATTGAGGTAAAGTGGACTACTTTGTTTATTTACTTAGTTTGGTATTCCATCAGTTTAAGTTTTGAAGACTTTTTCATAATTCACCAAAGTAGATGGAAAGACAATACAAGAAATAAATGGAAGCACAAACTTTCTGGTCACTTGATGATAAAAACATTAGAATTCTTTTTCACTCAACATAATCACATGCTAATGACATCACCTCTCTTACAGTTCCTCTGCATATGTCCCATGCCTCAACAGCATCCATGCATTGTCCTGTCATACAAGGTGTTAGGGAAGTGGGTAAGTGAATATCTATATTCAGAAATAGTAAGAAAAAGGCATTTTCTCTAGCTAATCAGGGAGTGAAGACATGCAGGGGATGTTAAATTGAAAGATCAGAAATTTCCTAAATCAGTGAGGAAAATGCAACTACATTCAATCCTCATGGGCTCAGAAATACAAAATACACAACCACTCCTGATGAAGACATATGGTGTATCAGGATACCCTGGAACTTCCAGCAGAAGTAAAAAAACAGAGAGTACAAGAGTAAAGGCTTTTATGAGAGTACTACAGGGAAATGACTACTTTTCCAACAAATTGAAAGGCTTAATATTTATAGTATATTACCCTACCACAATGTGACAGTCAGCCCCTCCAGTTGCCACTCGGTAGAATGCATCTTCTTTGCAAGGCTGGACATCCACTGTAAGCACCGGATCTTTATTGTGCCATGAGATTTCTGGGATTGTGCACTTCATTTCCCAGGGCCCTGTTATCAACAAGTTTATCTACAAAAAGAAAGACAAGTAGATTCATTAGGCAAATAAGCCATATGATTACATACCTTGTCCTTTAAACTGATCATTGAACTATACATCTAGACCTAAAATGTAAACCTAGGCTCAAAGCCTTGGTATGTGTGCCAACAACCACTTCCTATCTATATACTAACTATCTCTGCTCAAAGCAGCTTTGTTGAACCCTCTGGAACTGGAGTGAGTCAAGAGCAAAGTATTCCATTTGCAGTTAGCAATTAGTTATTCACATATTTAGTCAACATGAATGAGTATACAATTGTATCCCACTCTGACCAGTGGCTTCTCAGATTCTTTTGTAAGCAGCTACCATCAGATTGGAAATAACTTCTACCCCAAGTTGTGCAGGAAAGGGATCAGCTCCAGGGCTTCAGCTATAAATTCTGCACCTGCAGCAGTCACATGAAACTCCATTTTCCCCTCCTATTTCTCCTAAGCACTCCATAACATTCCTATTCAAGAAGTGACTTCCAACATGTTTGAAGTGCTCAGTGTAGTTTCTCTGGATCTACAGGTTGATTCTGCCATAAATCTCTTCATAGGTCTGTAATGGTGTGAGTTTATTACTTCAAGAACAGAAGGATTAGGCTTTGATGGAGGCTACACACCATCACAAGACTTTACAAGAATCAGTAAACTGAGGGAGTTAGTGTGGAGCAGTGTAAAAAAAAAAATTTCCCCTGAACCTAAGATAACAAATTGGAATTATCCTGGAAGAGGAATATGCAAGTGGACTAAGCAAGCCACCCGCCTGGGCGTATCCGTTCCTGTGAACCTTGATCGCAAGTTTGCAAGGGTTTTCCTAGTCTGGTGTGGAGTGGTATGAAAGTGGGGTGTTGGATATATTGAGTAGAGACCCTGGCCCAAACCAATACCTGAGAATCAAGTCATAGATTCAAAATCTTTCTGACTACTATAAAGCAAGTTCAACAGGATATAGCTTTACTAACAATATAACAATAACAATAACAAGGACTTTGTGTTAGGCCTAAGGGTTCACAACTAGATGAGGATGATGACGAAGGTAGAGGATCACAAGAGGAGTCCAAATTCTGGAGTTTAACCCTTTGGCTGTTTGCCCGAGTACATACTCGGGCTTGTGTAGTGGTAACATGGGTATTTTCTCGGGCTTAGAACATTAACTGTTTCTAGGTTATTTCACAGCTCTTTATGCATGTACCTGCTATCTTCAATAATTATCATGATATGACATTTTCTTACATAAACTATTGTTTTTAGACAAGTACATTTATATACATTTATAGATACATTTATATGAAAACGTATCAGCTATCCCCCATGTTATAAAAGTCAAAGGGTTAAAGAAAGCAAAGAGAAACAGGAACAGCCACAATTGGCTGCAGTTCTGAACCTTCAAAGTTTGGAAAGAGAATTACAAATAATATTACAAATAATAAGAAAATAATCTAATGGCCTAGCATAATCTACAGAAAATGAGTAGGCTGAGTAAATGTGAAAAAATATAATCTATCCTATAGCTACACAGAACAAGATCAGACAAGGCACTAAGACACACAAAAAAGATATAGACAGGTCAACCAATAAATGAAAGATACCAACTGATACATGCCCATATATGCAGTCTATCAATGTTGCATTTGCCCTATTACAGGTCTAGTTCCTCCTTTTCAGTTGTCCACCCTGCAACTCTACTACAGATTTACATATCAATCCCCCACAGCAAATTAGAAAACACTCCCTGAAAACAAATGTGTCTTCTAAGCCAAAGCCTATCTTTGCCCAATCATAGAATGCTCTCTTAAAACATCCCCTTAGTATACCTGATATCATACATGCAGGGACATTTGACCTAAAAGAAGTCTCATTTAAATCAGATCTTCAAAATCACCTTTCACATCTCTTCTTCCAGTATCTTTCTCACTGCCCAGCTCACTGAATTTCCACTTTCAAACCCATTCCATCTTAGGTCCTCATCATTCCCATTCTCCAAGGACAACCATATCACTTCCAGAGTTCAGTTTCAGTTTGTTTCAGTTTGTTTCAGATTGTTCAGTTTCCAACCCATCCTACCTCTTCCATAAAGTATTCTACATGTTTATGCTATCTAACTCATGTTCTATTTGCAGATTCTTTTGATAGAGGCATGGGAGAAGTGTTGTGCCACCTCATGCACATGTCTGTACTCATTCACATCCTGGTGTAAGAACTTCTTTTCTCTATTCCAATATTGCAACTCTACCAATAAACTTCTTCAAGTAAGGCAACACTTTGCACACTGGGCAGGGAAAAATTATATCCTAGACAATCCATTGACTAAATTCTCTCCCAATTCCATTCCCTACTCTCTTACACATAATGTATGTCGAGAAAGCCCTGTTATAGCTAGCTGAAATTTCTCCCCCTCTGGACTTATGGCACTTGATCATTAAGAACACTTCTACAGAGATTCAAAAAGGACTCAGTGAAATCAAGGCCTCCAAGAATGCTAGGCATGGGGGGGTTAGCACTGGATATGAGAAGGGAGAGCTACCATGCATATGCCTGAATCTAGGCCTGTCCTGGATATAGCCAATAGCTAATTGAAAAGTAACAATATCTATGCTAGGCACAAAGGCAGTCTTGAAACCGTTTATGGGTAACTGGTTCCACCAAAGAATCAAATACTTCGTCTAGGCACGTCACTAACAATGTCAGGCGCAGATGATAACCTTATCATATAGACTAAGCAAATGCCAATAGTAGGCTTTCCCACCTAAGCCAAAACGTAGGCCTAGGCCTAAGACTAGGGCTGATTCCAACACGGCAGTTCAATCGCAGTTCGATTCTAGTTTCAGTTCAGACTTTGGTCTGACTGAAGTTCCACTGTGCTCTTGTCTACTTTTATCATAAAGAAATCCCAACCGGAACTACAACTGAACTAAAACTGGAACTTAATTGCTACCATTCCGACTGGACTGCACTTTTGAAATCAGCCTAGGCCCACCCAAGCTTCTGCTAGGCCTAGCATACTGTATTCTCGTCTGAAACAAGGTATTCATTAAAATATATATATAAATATATCACGAGTAACCTTTAAGGTGAAAATTTTACTATACGACGGTATGAAGATAGGAAAGTCACGGCAAGAGAGCTGAGATATATGCTTTCCCTGAAATTCGCGCCCGCGCTTGTCATGTGCTCAGGGAGACGGCATGGATGACGTCATAAATACCTCCCTGTTATGTTGTGGGCAGAATTTCCTCGACTCGAAAGAGCATTCATCACAGTGGACGTATATTATATGCATATTATGAGCTTCCTGCGATGAGATTCACACATTTTCTTCATCAACTGTGACATCCGTCGGGTGGTGCTGGTCTTGTCTTATGATTACGCATGGTGAGAACAAGGGAGAAGAAACTACGGTTTGAGCAGCCGTGAGATCTGCATGCCGCATGGTTCCCGTCTTGAATTGTGAGGTGCTGTCCTGTCCCTTGAAGGGGGATTTCCCGCTTCCTTTCTCGTGTTCTTACACATCTCCCCCTGAAAGGGAAAAATCTCTTCTCGGCGTAAAACAATCGCTTTGAAGTGTTTATCTCTCTCTCGCACTCATTAGGATTAGGCTAAACTGGTACACCGATGATAACGTTTGGCAGATAGTAACATGGAACGTTCTTGGGGAGAACAGTACAGCATGAAGAAAGATAGGGACTTATAGAAGGGATGGATGTTTAGGCTTGAGAGGGGAATGATGGGAAGGCCACTGATAGTAAGTCTATGAACAAATGAGCTCATACGTGTTAATGGGAAGAGAGTAATCCCCACTCCACTGAAAAGCTTGATCCCTGGAGGTTATCCTTTTCCAAGATTAAAGGATATGTGCTTGTGATATTGGGAACTTTTCATCGGCATTTGCGATTTCCCTGAAAGTGCTTTTCATTCACTCAAGACACCATCATCATATCCCTTAGGCTGTCAGGATCACATGGTAGGTTTTAGTTTTCTGTCTCAGCATCATGTCAACTTTGGAATTTTCCATTCTTTTGGACCATCTTGATGCAGTCTTTGAAGGATTCATATTCATCTTGATATCTCATACAAGAAGAAAAATAATCTTAGCTTTAAGATAGATTTGAGATAAATTAAGATGCCAGAGATTTAGAGTGAAATAAGAAACACCCAATGGCAAAAGGCACAGAATGCCTTAAGAAACAACTTGGAAGAAATGAAGATAGCTAGATTTGATCCTGTCCTTGAACTTGTCTGAGATTTGGTGCTAGATTTCCATGAGTTCCTGGCATTCCTACTCTATGTGCATACTGCATCCAAGATCCTTCATATGGAAAAGTTTCTCAACCCTTGACAGCCAACTTTTATAATGGGCCCATGTTTAGGTCAGATGTCAGCAAATGCTGTTCACCTTAAGACTACAACATCCATGTGCTTTAAATCATTAAACCACAATAATAGTCTTCAGGTTTGTATCTTTGAAATAAACAGCTNGTTAAAATAATTATTTTCCAACTTCTTATGTGTTTTATTGGAACTGGTTGTATAAAGGAATCTCCTCTCTATCAGGATATTAGAAGATTCCTGACAAAAGCTGGTCCTTGTGCCAACCATAGGGACACTGAAGAGAAGAAATCACCTGGAGGAGGGAAAACAGCTGGCAAGAAGAGGAGGATTGTTGACTCAGATTCTGACTTTGAGAATGATGAAGATCCCATTCCACCAAAACTTAGAAGTACAGCCTGCTCAATGCCTTTGGCGCTTGCACTTATGCTCTAGACCTGAATGATTGGATATCTAGCATGCTGAGAAGCTTCTGCCCATGTTGCAGGTGAAGGGAAGAAGAGAGAGAGTCCTCGAAAAAAGAAGGAGGAAGTGGCCTCCCTCACTCCAGTGTCCATATCTCAGTACTTCTCTTCATCGACTGCTGTTCCATCATGTTCACCTATAAAGGTTGACTGGAGTCCTTATTAGTCTTAGAAGTTCCCAGCATAGGTTTCTGTGAATTTCCTTCATTCTCTTTCCAGAAGAGTGTAAATGGGAAGGCAGACACACCCAAAAAGATCAAGGAACCATCCAGATGTTCACCTCGAAAGCCCATTGCTAGTGTTGCTGATGTATCGTGCCCATCCTCTGCCAAGGTAGGCCTGTTTCATATCAGAGTACCAACTTTATACCTCCTTGACTTCACAAATTTACTATTGTATTTTGTCAAATAAGATGCTATTTCTCTGAGGTTTAGCAATTTTGTTCTCCATCATTCTTCCTCCAGTAATTTATTATGCATGAATTTACTCCCAATAATTAGTAATCAGCTTTTCAGTAGAACTGATCATTTGCCTAATAGACATATGAAAATGTGGTGCACCTGAACTGCACCATTGGTAGGGCTGCCACCTTAGGTTCATTATGAAATATAATCCTTTAGAATTTCTTTGGGAATTCTTACCTTATTTTCAAAATCATCAAGAAAGCAGAATGAGCTATACAGGCCACCCCGTCCTCTCTACATATACAAAAGGGAAATTACAGAGGCCTGCATTTCGATTTCTGGATTTTCAACACATCCCATCTTGGCCCTCCGCAAAGACACGACCAGATTCCGTATGCTCGATTTCGCTCCAAAGATCAGTGCGACCGCATGCGAGGGTCCCATATGTGATGAGAGGGACCGATTGCAAGCACCTACGATACTTGCAGCGATTGCAACTCAGCTCTTCGCATTTCAGCGTCATGGTTTATATGGCGAAGGTTTAAAAAGCGCTACAATGAATCGAATTTCCGCGTACAGTCCTTTCGAGCCTCGGCGTTTCTTGGAGGAACGGGGTGATGTGAAATGAAAAAGGTGCTCTTATAGCGTGCTATAATTCCTCCAGATGGCTGTCTCATCACTCAAGAGTGATTGTGTCATGCAGGAGTACGCACTGAACACCCTCTTGTCTGCACTTTTCCTATGATTTTATCAAATTTGAACCATAGATACCGACTTAATGAGAGGACAGCAGAGTGGGAACCCTAATGGTTGTCGTGCAGGAATAGGTGTAGATTTCACGCCAGAAACTTGGAATGCTATGCGAGAAAAGTACCTCATATCTGAAGCCCACTGACCTTAAAGAAGTTTTCTGTTCGTTGCAGACACGAATGAGTCTCAGCCTACTTTCCAGTTTTCGTATTCGCATTAAAAGGAGTGATAGGTTTAACGTCAGGGGTGAATGAAATGAAGGATTTTCCGCCAACCTGGCGCGCACATGTATGCCATGCGCGCATGCAAAAACTGTTTCTTGCTGATACCTGTGGAGCATCAGACGTCGCGATACGGAAGAGACAATATCACAAGTTACGGACGGAAATTCCGATTGAGCGACAACATTTATAAGTTGGATTTTGCGTAATATATTGTAGCTTTGCACGTTCATATGGCCTTCGTACATTCTCTGTTGCTTTCCTCTCCCGTTTCCCCACTTTCCCAACTTTCTCCTTACCTGCCGATCAGTGGCGGCTCGTGGTTCATGCTGTAGGGTAGGCCAGGGACGTAGCCAGGGAAGGGGGGCTGCCCTGGCTCCCACTCCCCTTTCCCCCTGGCTTACATAAGCCCTCATAGGACTTCATTGGCCCTCCGAAAAGCGAGACTCTCGCTACGCTACTGGGTTAAGCCCAGGATGCCAAGAAAATATATGCGTGACGGAAACACGGACAAGGATTTTTTAGCTTGCGTCTTGAACGAAATGGAGCGCTCTGACTGCCAAATGTATTGGGCGCCCTAAGCGAATCTAGTTTTCTTGGGACAAGTGGAACCTGAGCAGAGAGAGTCGTTCATTTACATGTCGCCGGGAGAGCAGTCCTGGCAATCATAGCTTTGCCACTTTAACATTGTTGGCTTCGTCTGTTGGAGGCCTGTTACCGAATTTCCCGTTTTTTCTCCTTCACCACCACTTCTTATTGCAACGTTTCGTTTGTCGAGTCTTGAGCTACTGGGGTGGGACATGCTTATTCCCTTCATTCCTGCAACTATCGTTGCTCTGAATTGCTTCTGAAATATAAATTTAAAGATGATTAAAGGCGTCAGTAATGCTCCTATTCATTTTTTTTTAGAAGTGAATTTCCCGATTGGCATGAACAAAGATTTTAATTCCATCAACTGGCCACTGATCGGTTCCAGAAAAATTGTCTATGAAACGTCCCTCTGCTCTTCTCATTTCTCAAGTTTTCGTACCAGACCTTAAGCACGAGCTTTCGCCCTGGCGAAAGCACTCCATGTCTTTCCTGTGAAAGGCGTGCTGGCGGCGATCAATGATATTCTTAATCTCAGGAGTCATCCACGTCGTGTCTCTTGAGCATATGTCAGATTTCTTCAGGGGAATTATTCGGTCGACAACTGAGCTCAGTCAGGTTAAATTGGTGGGTTTGCTCTTGGCAGACCGGTACTGAGAAAACCTCGACCCAACGATGGTGAAAAATCCAAGTACCAAAGGAACGGTCGAGAAAGAAGCGGCGAAATATGGTCTTCACAGTCCATTGCGGGAGCATGTAAATGTAATGGTTGGAATGGTCGTTGTTCTTCAAGGGGGAGAGCTTCAAAGTAGGCTTGTAATATTCACTCATATCAGTAATTAGCAAGTCGAAGATGGCGCGTTGCAATGTTGACTATCTATTTAAAATCACAACCGTTGAGGAAGGGGACGATATCGCAGCCGTTAAATTCTCAGAAGAAAATCGAGCGCCGGGGTTCGTCACCCGCACTCGATTGACTATGGAGAGTATATTGTCGATGAAGGTCTTCTGGAGAAGATAGACTCCGCAGATCACAAAGGCATCGATCCCTCCAGGAAATCAGAGCGGGTTAAGAGTGACCCATTTCGTCTTGATGTCCGGGGGCATATTCAACATGAGAGGCCGGGAAGGGGTGTCACTTCACACTTACAGTATTGGCCAAAATAATATCACCACTACAGTTTGAATGGAAAATTTGAGCTTTTTTCAATTTAATCAAGAATACCATTATTTCCAACAAAGTATTATATTGTATACTTGTTTTCAATTCTGTAAGAACATAAACTCAGTAAATCAAATGTCAATAATGGCAAACACACCAAGAATGTCTATGGAGACCTTTTTTTTGGAGTTTTTTGAGTGGTGCATGACCGAATTATACATATTTCCATAGATCGGGTCTATGGGACCCACTACCAAATAACACGCATTAGTTGAACTTTTGGAGAGAACAATCAATTTATTAAAGAAACGTCCGTGCAAGAAACCAATAAATCGTGTGTAATTTCGGAAGTAAACTTCGCTGATGGAAGCCCCCAAGACCCCATGTCATGCATCCTATGGTTAACTACAGTGTTCCCCATTTCGATCAGCTCAAACGATCCATACGTGAGATCGCATAGACAGACTAGGGGAGCGGACCCAGTTAGCGAACACCCTAAGGAGAAATAATTGAACTCTAGGTCAGCAATCACACTGAAGAGCATTCTTGATGCGGATCCCGCTTTCCTTCCACTCCCAGGTGTCATCTGATAATATTCATGTAAATCCTATCGTCTTCTGCTACACGCATTTGCTGCAGGACAGCTCAAAACGCTGCATACTTGAATTTCATAGATAGCGAACACCTTGCCCCAGTTAGCGAACAGTTACTGAGCCAGTTTGCGAACGACCTTACATTTACCTCGCACGTTTTCTGCCAACCGCAGTTCATAGTGTAAAATCGATCAAATCTGTTATTGGGTGTATCGAAGCAAAATTAGGATGTACGGATTTGCATTGCCGCCCTGAGTTCAATGGGCTAATCAGCATCCACAAATTCGGATTTCCCTGCTGTGACGATTTTTGGACATGGGTTTGGCCGAAATCTGTGGCAGTGGAATCAAGAGCAAGAACAGTCACATGTGCTCCCATCACCAGAGGACTGGCTTCTTCATTTTGTGCGAAGAATTCGCCGGCTCATGAAATTCTCTTGTGTTTGGTGCATGAAATCAATCTTGGAGCATGGTATGACCACAATTCTAGGAAGTAGGGGGAAAGGACCCGGTTAGTTAATACGCTAGGGAGTGGTAACGAAACCTCATGCCGGCAATCACGCTGAAGAGCATCCTTCATGCTGGTCCTGCTCTCCTCATCCTATGTGACATCTGATGATATTCATGCAAGTCATACCGACGCCTATCTCACGAATTAATTGCAGGCCAGCCAAAATTACTACAGGCCTGAATCTGATAGATAGCGAATACCTGCTGAAGGAGAAATTGAATGCAAATGACCCTATATTTAAAAAGAAAACTAAAAACATATGAGCCAGATGTATAGATTCATTTCGACTTCGTATGATATCATACAGTGATAAACGCAGAACGTAAATGCAAATTAGCTCTAATCCAATGCATCCTTTATGGGACGACCCTCCACAAATTTGACATGTAGGCCTAGTTCAGTCCTCGTGTGCTATGGAATTTCATGTGCTTCCATCCCACAAACTCCACATTTGGTTTTCCCAGATTAGTTTTGCTTTGAACATGACTTCCTGTTCTTTATTCCAGAAGCCCTACCTTCCTCCCTTCGTCTTTTTCGTTCTTCCTTCTGTTTCTCTTTCTCCTCTTCGTCTTCTTTTTTCTTCATCAGGTACGAGGTTAGGGCTTTCCCTGATACTGCACAAGGAAACTTCACACCAATAACCTTTTTCTTCCCACTCTTTAGTGTCTTCTCGGGTAAACGCAAAAGAGATTTGAAAGGCGAGTCCTGGAAAGTGAATTGCCTCTGAGCTTCGGTAGTTTTAGGAGGGCTATCGCAAGGGACGATTGGACAAAAGCTGTTTCGCTTGAGATGCTGAATCTTCTAGTTCCCCGCCGCTGATGAGGGCCTGCACTATGCCATCATCATCCGTAAGATGAAAACTTGCAGACCAGTTTTGTGGATACTTACTGCTGATGTGCCAGGAATGTTGATGATGATATTTTTATTCTCAACATGACTTGGCCATAGATATGAGGCTATCTTTGGTGCCATTTTTGGGTTGAAAATGGATCAATCTTGTTCAATGAGTTGAATAATGCAACAAAAGGAGTTGCAAAAGCTTTAACCTAAAGGAGAAAAACAGTCGGAACCACTTAGAAGATACTGAAAAGGGAAAATTGTTGCTATTTTTGCACATAAATTGTGCTTCTTTAAAAGCTTGAAATGAAGCTCCTAGGAAAAGAATCCATCTCTGACTTCTCATATGAAATTCAACATAAAATCTGCTAAACTAGAGAAGAGAGTTTGTGTTCTTTCCTTATAGAGAAGGAAAACGAAAAGCATAGCAAATGCATCTTGCCTCATCTCCTCGGAGCTATTATTTCCGCAAATGGGAAATGCCAAGGAGAAGAGATCACTGAAAGATAAAGCATCACAAAAGTTTCGCATTGGAACAGCCTATCACGAAATAAATCACCTTCGATCTGCACTTAGATTTCTCTCCTGCGGAAGTAGGAAACAGTCTGGGAGAAAGAGAGAATCACGAAGGAAAAACTAGAATAATGTCAATGAAACCAAATCCCTGAAGTATGATCTGGGTTCTGGCTTGCTTCTCCAGTTTGCATCGAGAACATGGAACTCCATTGAACGCAGAACGTTCGCAAATAGGAAATGCCTGCCCCAGTTTGCGAACAGGCCGTTCGCTAACTAGCACAGACTCGAAATTCTGTTCCAGTTCGCGAACACTCTCTCAAATGCAATTTTTGGCTCAATTCAGCTGGGAAATTCTCAAATCACAATATTTAGGGGAAAAACTACAATGAAGAACACACATATCACTATAGGGTGGCAGGGTGGACGAATGTTTGATGCGTGAAGAAGGTGATGGTCTTAGCTACAGCAGATAAAAATCCCTGCCTTTCCACGGAACACTCTCTCAAATGCAATTTTTGGCTCAATTCAGCTGGGAAATTCTCAAATCACAATATTTAGGGGAAAAACTACAATGAAGAACACACATATCACTATAGGGTGGCAGGGTGGACGAATGTTTGATGCGTGAAGAAGGTGATGGTCTTAGCTACAGCAGATAAAAATCCCTGCCTTTCCACGGTAGGCGACAGATATGCATTTTTCATTCCGTTCCTATTACAATCATTCCATGTCGAGCTTGTGGAAAATGTAGAAAAAGGCTAGACCAGTGAATTAGTACAAGGGATGAAGTATGACATGAAACAAATATGATGTCAGCTCCCATTTCATGACTCGCCGTTCGCTATCTGGCGCCCGTTCGCGAACTGGCGCCCGTTCGCGAACTGGTGCCGCTCCCCTATATACAGGGTGGGCCAAAAGTTTTTGCCCCTGTATAAAATTGTGAATATCTCCTGAACGGTTTGGGCTACAGAGTAATTTAGGGGAAAAACTACAATGAAGAACACACATATCACTATAGGGTGGCAGGGTGGACGAATGTTTGATGCGTGAAGAAGGTGATGGTCTTAGCTACAGCAGATAAAAATCCCTGCCTTTCCACGGTAGGCGACAGATATGCATTTTTCATTCCGTTTCTATTACAATCATTCCATGTCGAGCTTGTGGAAAATGTAGAAAAAGGCTACACCAGTGAATTAGTACAAGGGATGAAGCATGACATCAAACAAATATGATGTCAGCTCCCATCTCATGACTCGCCGTTCGCTATCTGGCGCCCGTTCGCGAACTGGTGCCGCTCCCCTACAACGTAGAGAGTGAATGCAGACAAGAAGGGGAAGGGGAGACGAGAGGGTAGAGCAGACTGCCCGAACGGTCGCTAGAACAAAGCTTCCTCGTTGAACTCGTTTGGAAGCTTATCGTTATGAATGATGTAGAGGACCTTAAATTTACTTATATTAACTTTTCATGAGCCGTTTTTTACATTTTTTATTCCACTTATCCAAAAGCCATCTCGGCTCTCGTCCTGTCGGAGAAACCTATTTTCGTATCATCGGTAAATTTGCTGATTTTACGTGAGACCTTCATCTAAATCGTTAATGACATGCACCGAATCTGTTTAAACTAAACTAATCTGATCTCACAATGAATCCCTACATGGGAATCAGTTTAACGGAGATAAACTTATTCCCATAGACGCCCATTATGAAAACGAATCAGTTTTAGGTTATACGAATCTGGTGCATGTCACCCGTAAACTAAGAATAGATTCGTTTAAGGACCGTAACCCGGGGACTCCTTTCGTGACTTCGACTTCCGCTTACACTTTTCCATTTACAGTTTACATTAACACTGCTCTCATGGCGAGAGCCAGTTACTTATCCAATTACTCACCTTGCCCGAAATCCTGCGCGCTTGTGAGAAACTGTATCTAAAGCCTTTGCTAAACCTAGGTAAACGATGTCCACGGGATTCCTACTATCTCACCCGTCACCCAATGGTGGAATTCAAGAAAATCGATAGTGCAACTTCGCCGCCTTCCAAGGCCGCGCTGAGATTCCTGAGTTTCCCGCTAGAATTTCTAAGATATGTGCACTCAGTATGCTTTCCATGATATTTCCAGCGATGCTTTTGAGACTCACTGACCTCTGATTTCTCAGATTGTACTTTTCACCCGCTTTAAAGATCGGCATTGGAGAACTTGTACATTCTTAGTGGTACTGTAAGTGTAAGACCATTCCTACTACCACATATACTGCAGCATGCATAATGCTGCATGCTGCAAGATGCCTCTATGCCTTCTCAGAGCCAGAGGAGTCTCTCTGGCTCATATCCCCCCTGGATGATTCTTGGCAGATATTAACGTTAACTGTTGGAGACTGAATTCCACACTTTTTATGGTGACTAGGAGTAAATCTAATGTTTCTGAATGATTTTCTATATACATTTTTGATACACTCTGGAAATTTTCAAGTTAATGTTATAAATCCTAACATAATGATCTGCCACTTCGTAGAGTTTTTGTATGCAAACCTTCTGCAAGGGTGGAGGACCAAATTTGTTGCCAATTGGAGTGTGATGTTAAAGTCAGTAACTTTCAAACTGCCCTGTCACATATCTTCATAACTTTTTTTTTCTGGTCAGTCATCAGTCCTACTGAGGAGCTGAAAGTGAATTCATATAATGAATTGCTTTCCTCAATTTTCAGCTCAAGGTGGTACTTTTGTGACAATATTACATTGAGACATAAATAAATTGAAATAAATGGTGAATGTATGGATATTTCAGGTTTTTATAATCCCCCCTAAATCATAAATGAATGAATACTTACAGAAACATGTGATAAAGAAGGAAAAGGAGCAAGGGGAAACTCTCAAGCCAGAACCCACTCTTAGGAGTTCCCCTCGGAAGGCTGCAGTTGTCATGTCAACTCGTAAGTCTTTGATATTTCCATTCATACTTATCAGGATTGAATGAACCCTTGACCCAGACTTGTACATTTTTCAGGAGAGGTGCATTTGGCAACTTATTTTTGCATTTTCTCATAGCCTGGGTGTTTTGAGGTAGACTAAGGTATTATTCCTTTATGTGATTCAATCCTCTATGATCCAACAGATCAATGAAGTTCATTGTTCACAACACCAACAAGTAATCTGAAGAAAAGTCACTTACTTGAAGGTTTGTTTGAAATCACTCTCAATCTGGCATAATAAAGTAATTTACATTCTTGCAGTTTTCTCCTTTTTGCATTTTGTTTTCTGACATTTGCTGGTTTTCAGCTTTTGTCATGGAGTTTTCAAATCTTCTGAGAATCATCCTGTCCATGTAAATGGAGGATATTAATAATAAATCTAGTTGTCAAATATTTGGACATTCTAATTCAGAAATGTTTATCTTTCATGTAGGTTAAATTTTTCACCTTTGGCCAGGTTCTGACCATTTTCTAATCACTCTCCATAGCTATGGAAGCAGTTGGGTAGCTGGTGATGGGCCTTGTCATTATTAATTCATCAGCTGGTAATTGGTGTCAAAATTGCTCCAAATGTCAGATAATTTATTTATCAAAGTGTATTAATATTTAAATTGAGTTTTTTGTGTATGAGAATATTATTTTATAGGTTTCTGACTTATTTTTTTTCTGTCAGTCTGCATAAATAAATATCAGTAGTAGAGTGCCACATGATCCTTATGCTTCAATTTCTTGACTCTCATCTTAATCGATTTGACTGTCTCATGTTTGCAATGTCTTTTTTGCCCTCATGACTTCGATTCTGAACCATACCTTGCCAATTATCTACTGATTATTGACAAGGACATGGGCCAAGGCATCACCTCTCAGCCAATTTAACTAATTGTCCATAGCTTCTAGTAACTTCTATGAGCATTCACATGATGGCAGTTATGCTTCCCTTTTAATATGGGGTCTGTCTTTAATATGACCATGTTAGAGATTCTCTTTACAAAGCTTACACTTTATGCTGCTCTTCAGAGTTGTCACCCCAGCCACAAAAAGCCAAGGTAGAAGAAAGTCCTGCCCGTGCTGAAGGCAAGGGGAAGAAGATGAAATTGGAGGGTTCAAAGGAGCAAGAAATGGAAGTGGATGAAGAGACAAGAAGGAAAAAGGAAGAACAGAGAAACAGCTACCTGCAGTACCTACACCGTGGGGGTCCTGCACATCCAGGCAGCAAAACCATTCCTGAGGCCAGTTCTCTTTTCCTCTTTTCAAGCATTCTTGCCTCTGTCTATGAAGCATCTCTTCTTGTCTCCAGAACTCTCTGGAGAAGTTCTCACATTAGATTGCATGCCATTTATTGCCATTCTCTACCACCTGGTGCTATAAAGATTGGAAGATATTTACTCTCTTTTAGGTTATTGAAAATGTCTTTGTGCCTGATACACTCACCTTTCTGCTGCCAAGAATGTGCATGAAATTGTTATTGTCATTGCAATTATGTGTCTGGGGTGACACCATGTAGATTTCACAGTGTCACCTGATTTTTATTTCTTTACAGTGGGAGGTTATCATATGTGAATGTACTCGTGTATAGATTGCTTTTTTTATATTTTACATGTTTATATTTTGGCCAGCAGAGAATGAATTTGTCTTGCACTTGAGGAATAGGATCAATATGTTAGAAACATTTCCAAACAGGTAATTAAAAGAGTCTAGAAATAGGATTCACCTTACAAATTAAAAAATTGAGTTGCGCTTGGTCGAAGTAATTCTGAGCCGTGTTTTTATTTTGAAGAAAATAAATTGCTTGCAACATAAGAAATATCACTCATATTCTTGTGGAGCTGGAGGTAGATGAAGGATAATTGCATTCTTTGACTCTCTCCCTTATCAATGGTGACTTAACCCCTTCTTTGATTCACCCCTTCAGTTACTTTCTAGAGTGACAGTCTGATAAGGGGAATCAAGGTAATGATTGCTATATTATTTTTCCTTGCACCAATGGTCTTGCATTGCTGATGACCTTCCTACACATTAGTGGGAATAAGAATGAGGTAGGGGGCAATGGAAGCACAATGTGTGAGGAGGGGAGACGTCTCTGACACAGGATGAGTGGATGAGCACAGTCTGAGAGAATGACCTTGCTCAGCATCTGGTCAGGGAGTCTCTTGGCTCTGTTTCCTCCCATCAGCTTTGATTTCTGCTGCACTTTGCCTCATCAGCTCTAGTTAGGGAATGGCTTATGTTGTATCCATGGATCTTATAGATTTATTGCATGCAAAATGGGGATGCATAAATGGTTTGAGAATTTTGTATTCCACAATTTTGAGCATCTGAGTTCTGAATAGGTATGCAGCTGCCCATGAATAACCTCAGACCATCCCTAGGATGCTATTGGGTTGGCCGGAAAGGTCTTGCAGTTTCAGACAATATTTGAGAAAACAATTTTATTTAGCAAGTATACAATCTCAATCAACAATGTAAGCACTAATTGTGTTCCACTACATGTCTCCACTTCCAGCCAGGGAATGGATTCCGCCGTGGTAGAACGATGGGGGGCTGAGACTCAAAGAACTGTCACAAGTAGCATTCGAGGTCTTTCTGGTCGTCGAACTTTTTCTCTTTGAGGCGGTTCTGCATGGCGCAGAAAAGGTAGTAGTCCAACGGAGCAAGGTCTGGGGAGTATGGTGGGTGTGGCAGAATCTCCCATCTGAGGGCGAGGAGTTTGAGCCGGGTCATCTTTGCGGTATGTGGCCAGGCATCGTCGTGGAGAAACAGCACTTTGTCACATCCCGGTTGAGCCGTTGAGAGTTTCTGGCTCAATCTCTCCAGTTGGTTGCAGTAGTAGGCCACCGTGATGGTGGTGTTGGGAGGAAGCAGCTTGAACATCACAACACCTTTCACGTCCCACCATACGGAGAGCATCACCTTGCGGGGGTGCAGGTCACCTTTCGGCTCCAGCTGCGGCTCTTCATCAGTGTCTACCCACAGTCGTTTGCGGGTGTGGTTCGCGTACATCACCTACTTCTCATCCCCGTGACAACGTCGTCGAGCCAGCCAGTGGAAGCGCCGTCGGTGGGAGAGAAGTGCTGGAACACTGGTTGAGGTCCTTCTTTGTCGAAGCATGGGGTATCCAACTCCCAAGCTTCGAGACCTTCCCGATCGTGGACAGGCGGGTTCGATGGTGGAGTGGGAGCACCCGAGGATGGCTGCCATGTCGCGAGTGGTTATGCAGGGATCGGCTTCCACAAGTTGTAGTAGCGCCTCGTCATCCAACTTCGACAGGCATCCCGACCTTGGCTTGTCTTCGACACTATAGTTTCCGGACTTGAAGCGAGCGAACCGATTGAAGCCCGTCTTCTCGCTGATGACTCCTTCCCCAAACGCCTGGCACAGACGGCGATTGGCGTCAGCTGCCTTCTCTCCCAGACGGAACTCATTGAGGAGGCAGGTGCAGTAGTGGTCATGGTCAAGGTCGAACTTCTGGCTCATACTTGGTGGTAAGGGATCGAAAATACATTGAACTTGCACGCAAGAAGGGAGACTTTATAGGTGAAGCAGGAAAATTCAAGAAAATTCATGAGGCTTCTTAATGAGAAAAGGCAAAAACTGCAAGAACTTTCCAGCCAACCTAATACTTCTGTTTTTGAGGCTACCTGGCAGTCACCTGCCTTCCCTGCTCATCCTTACAAAGTCTTATGTACAAATGCTGAATGTTGCAAACAAATGAAACTGTGCCCCTGCCTTATCCTTAGACAATGGAACATTTTGCACCCCTAAATATAGGACATTCTGACCTAATCATGGCTTGTGTGGCTGTGAGTGCATGTATAAAAATTATGGAAAATGCTAACTGCTTCATGTCAAATGAACCATAGATGATCTGTGTGACCTTTGAGCAGACCTTCAAAGTATGGTAAAAGGCTTCATTTGGAAAACAGGACTTTATGCAATGGAATTGGGGAAGATATTGCTTATATCTCATTTGTATTTTGTAAGATCATTGAGTTGGCACATCCAACCCCCTCAGCAATATCATCTGCAGTGTCTTCCACACTCAAAGCTTAAGATCATATGGTGAAAAATCTTTCACTCTGGAAGACCTTTCATTCTCTGCTGTTTAAGACATCCCTGAGTGAGTACCTGTTCCTTACAGCATTTCTTTTTTTCTTTAGGGTGAAGAGGGATGCCTGGAAGGAGTAACATTTGTTGTGACTGGGGTGCTTGATAGCCTTGGTAGGGAAGAGTCTGAAGACTTGATCAAGCAATATGGTGGGAAAGTGACTCACTCTGTCAGCAAGAACACCACTTACCTTCTTGTTGGAAATGATCCTGGACCCAAAAAAATTGAAAAGGTGATTGTATCAAAAAATTACAAAGAAGTTAGGGCCATGCAATATGGGTTTTAAGGAGTTTATCTCTGACCATATGTTGATCAATATCATGATATCATTCATATATGAGGTCATTACCATGAAGCAAAAGAAAATACCAAAGGCAGATGAGAATAGTCTAAATATAGTCTATATACTTTGCATGAAGCATCACCTCGTCATAGGTGCGAGAGCATGGCCTCAGGATGTGTTTCTTCATTAACATGTCCCTTTGTGTGCTACTGGGACATGATGATATGATGGTAAGTACCTTAGTGTTCCAAGGGCATGGGAGAAAAGAACTACACTTGTTCTGTGCAAATAACAGATGGATTGGCCTAATTGAGAGGGGTGATACTTGCTGACTCTTTTCTCTGTTTCATCTGCTTTGAAAGCATAGGTGGAGTGCTATGCAGCAATGAGGAGCCCTTTAGCCTTTTATCTATCAATCTGTCAGTCATTCATGCAAGCTTTGAACAAACTATGCATTTGTTACTAATCAGAAGACCATAGTATGAAGAAATATTTAAAATCCTCAAAGAAGGGTTTTCTTTGCTTCATGGTCTGGGCTAATGCTTGTCATCTGTGTAGAATCAGGCAGTACCAATTTGCCTGTGATGTTATTCCTGATAATATTATTACACTTGCTCTTTGCTAGGATTTCTTCTTATTACTGGGTTATGGTTTCCATACAGGCTGAGAAGCTTGGCACAAAGGTGCTTGATGAAGATGGATTACTTGAGCTCATTCGGACCCATCCAGGGAAGAATAAGGATACCAGTACCCAGAATGTTGATAAGAAACAATATGCAAAAAAAACACATGAAAAGCACAAATTAGAAAGTAAGACTGAAGTGCCTCCAGTTAAAAGGGCCAAAATTGAGGCACCACAGATGAAAGAAAGCCCCAAGACACCCAAAGAGGAGCCATCAATATCCAAAGCAGCAGATTCAGATATTTCTGGTGAAACAGAAATGTGGGTTGACAAATATAAGCCAAGTGCATTGAAGCAGGTAATTGGCCAGCAGGGTGACAAAAGCCATGCCAAAAAACTCCTTAATTGGCTGTCAAAATGGAATGCTAATCAGAAACGAAGGCATCAGCTGTCACGACCAAGTAAGTAGTATCTCATTATCCTATTGTCTTATGGTAATAAATTATTCACTTCTTACTAGGGCTGTACTGATGACCCCCATTGGCTGGTGAGCCAATGACCGATTTTCATCTCTTAACCATCAACTGGTGCCAGTGCCAGTGCCAATAGTTGTCTGAAATTTGAGAAGTAACATGAAATTACAAACTAATTCAAATATGCCTCTTTGGAAGCCATGTGATGCTTCTCAGGGGCCCCCTAAAAACGATAAGAGATAATTTAGCACTGCCTGTTTGTGTTAGTTGGTAAGTGGTTAGCTTGTTACCTATTGCTGCTGTTAGGAGCATTTAATAACACATTGCTTGCAAAAGCATAGCATAAAAGGAGGTGCAATGATTCCCTTTTCTTTACCACTATTTTCTTCCTCTCTCTCTCTCCCCCTCATTATCCATCTCTGAAAGTGATATTATTTGAACTAGACTTCATTATTTTGACAAGATGGGACAATAGAGGAGTGGGAGTTTTTGTGATGCAGGTCCATGGGCACGAGGAGATGATGGTGCATACCACAAGGCAGCTCTTCTTTCTGGTCCACCTGGTGTGGGAAAGACAACAGTAGCCTTGTTGGCTTGCAAGGAGCTGGGCTTCCATGCAGTGGAGCTGAATGCATCAGACACTCGAAGCAAGCGTCTCCTTCATGATAACCTTCTTGAGGGACTTCAAAATATGAGCATCTCCTCTAAAGGTTTGTGGCTTGACTTGAGTAAACTTTAAATCTTACTTCATGTCTCCTGTATTGAAACTGTGACATGATATTGACAGGAGGATGACAAATACTTGTCAAAAACCTTAGACCCTCCCTTTACTTGCAAACAGTGTTAAGCAAACAAAATCTGATTGCACTATATGAATGCTCTTATCATTCTGCAATCTCTTGTATTCTAGGTATATTGTGAAAATTCAGTATAGCATGCTCAAAAATCAGAATTCCTAAAATGGTAGAATATGGGCAAATTCCATTGATGACATCAATTCATGAAGCCTCTCATCTATTAGATGAGCGGCTTCATGAAATTTCAGGCAAACCCCAGTGCATTGGCATGTTTCTTTGCCTCATCACCTGTTGCCTGACAGGTGATAGAGAAAGCTGAGAAAAATTATAACATGAATATTCTTGCAAAGCATATATGATCCCCTTCTTTAGGGCCTCAGTCCTTGTTCCTTCTGATGTTGCACTTCTCCATGGTATGGCCTCCTGTTCCCATGTGCTTGGCAGTGTGTTGGTTCCCATAGATTTCTTTGACAACAGTCAATGACCAGCTAATTCTCCAGACTTGAATACTTGTGAGCATGTAGGATCAATCATCAAATAGTGATTCCAGGCCCACTTGCTTGAGGAATCGTGGAAACACCATGGAGTCTTGGTCATATTGGAACATTTGGAAAAAAGTGAACATTCCAGTGACCATTCATTGTTCAAAGAACTGTTTCTTTCCTACTCATCTAGAATTCCAGCTGATTTTCACACTAAAATCAGTCACACAATTTCTTGAAACTTTGGATTTTGGCACAATACATTTTTATGTAGGTGAAGGAGTCTAATGTTTTTTGACATTCTGTATATTTCCCAAGACAAGAATAAGGTAGTTGCTGATGTATTAGGACAAACACTTGCATTTTTTGTAAGTTATATGATTCTATGAAAGCCTTGAACATTTTTCAGGGAGTGGCATGACTGAAAGCCATGTTCTCATAATGGATGAAGTGGATGGGATGGCTGGTAATGAAGATCGAGGGGGTATTGCTGAACTTATCTCCCTCATCAAGACCTCACGTGTCCCAATCATCTGCTTAGCCAATGATCGCAATCATCCCAAGATCAGGAGCCTGGCCAACCACTGTTATGATCTGCGATTCTCAAAGCCCCGAGTGGAGCAGATCCGAGGAGCCATGATGAGTATTTGTTTCAAGGAGGGGCTACAAGTGAAGCCTCAGGCCCTTGATGAAATCATCCTGGGGACCAATCAGGACCTAAGGCAGATTCTGCATCACCTCAGTTTATGGTCTGCAGGGGAAAAGAAGAGCTTGTTTCTGGAGGATGTCAAGGCTGAAGCCAATAAATCCAAGAAGGACCTTAAGTTTGTGAGTTCCCTAGATACAGTATATTTTTCTTGTTGGGGAATAGCAGCCATGCTATGATTGATACCATCGATGGGTTATTTTTATCCTACCAGGGTCCATGGGATGTGGTGAAGTCTGTATTCAGCCCAGAAGAACACAAGGACAAGAGCATAAATGATAAGGCTGCCCTTTTCTTCCAGGATTACAGTCTTGGACCTCTCTTTGTTCATGAAAACTACCTCAATGTCAATCCCATTGCAGCCAAGTGAGGTCCACTCTTTTCTCTACCACTTTATCACCTTCCAACTTGCTAATTCAAGTTGAAAAGTATCCATCCTGTGGAATGGCATGTCTGCATAAGCAATCCATTGACATAGATGATATTGCAAGATTTAGATGTTCAAGCACTGGGACATTTTGACCCAAGTTTTATCCCGATTCCTGTATTTAAAAGTGAGAGTAAGTCATAGCAGAGGTTAGGCCAGTTTCTAGGGATTTTCAGTCCATGCTTATGTGGCCACAGGCTGACCCAAAATATTCTGTTAATTTATATTTATAATTTTTCATCTCAATAAATTCTTTTAATAGTATCTGTGACATTTGCACTTAAATATGCATTTGTGCAGTATGTCTAATTTCCTGTTATTGCACTGTTATATATTGTCCTTGTGAATGAATTTGGAAATCCATATTCCTAATGCCTGCCATACAGTCAGTGACCAGCATGTGAGAGCAAGATATCCTGTCTAGCTGACTCATCATGCATACATGTGCCATCTTGTAAAGTTGCCTGTCAAAAATATCTGAATCATATTCTTTCTCAATATTAGAATATTTCACAAGAGAAATTCATAGCTCTGTATCTTATGAATATGAAAATTTCCTGTTTTATTTTGTGCTTTCCTTAAATCCTTTTGAAAAGTATCTTACCCAATCCTGGAAATCGGTTTGCAGGGCAGAATGTATTTTCATTAGTTTCAATCCTATAATTCTCAGTGCTCCACATTTCATGCAGTGTAAAGTTGCTCATTATTATATTAGATGAACTGTGATCACAGCCTCAGCTTGCTTTGATGTCCTCTTTGCTGTTTGTGTTTTCTTATTAGTAAATTGCAAATGCCCACTCCAGGCAAATAAATTAGAAAGCCTGTGGGGGAAGAAAGGTTCTCCCAGACAATCTTAACTGATGAGCATAAGACTTGTCATCTGTCTTGCTTTTTTAGTTTGATGATGTTAAGATTTTTTGTTTCTCTCTTGATTGTTTTGTCATCTCTCATCAGAGGCAATGTGAAGAAGGCACTGGGCCTTGTGAGTGAAACTGCAGATTCTCTATGCCTCTCTGATCTTGTCAAGAAGACCATTCGTTCACAAAATGCCTGGTCTCTTCTACCAGCTCAGGTACCATTACTACCATTACCATTGGCCTGAAACTTGACTGAACTCAAATGTAAATAGCATGTATAAAGAAGTGTATGGTCTTCTTGCATGTAAATACAATGAGTTATCTTTTTTTGTCTATTAATTTAGATCAAACTTTGAAAGCATAAACTTTAAATTTATTATTTAATCTAAGTTTGAGTAATCCAGAATTCTCATAGAGGTGGGACAGTCTCCTTCTCTCCCCTTCCCCCCCCCCCCCCCTTCCTTTTTCCACTACAGGAGGAAAAGATAAGCCTTATTGCCATTCTAGATAATACCCACCTTGCCAATCCAATGATCTTGCATAGACCGAGAAACTTGTGCCTTCTTCACCTTTGGGGTTGGGGGAGAATGAGAAAGGCTTTTTGTCTCTTCCAGAAATGGGATTTTAAAAAATATGGGAGTGGGATGGGAAAATCCTTTTGCTATGTGAGTCAGTGCATCCAAAATTTTAATGGAGGTTGTTGTTTCTCTCACTTCATTGATGAATGGTGCTCTCTTCCTTCTGCTTTTCATCTATTCATGTCCTTATCAACTGAACCACTTTCATTTTTTTCAGTAAAAATTGTTTTGTGAGAGTTGGACAAGCCCTGGTAAATTGACTAAGTAATCCAACGGCAAAAAATTCCCAACTCTTAAGTACCAGACATTCCTTCCCACTCACAGAATTTTCCATGCTAATATTCCCCTAGACAGTTCATTCCACCAATAAAATGCCCTTCTCGACCAGTTGGTTTCTCATCTGTCTGATGCAATTCAATCACTCTTGAAGCAGTCACTTTTTCTGTCAGTGTGTGCCCAAGGCTGTGCTTTATGAAATGGAGTTTTTTCCATTTCAGAAGGGAAGAGATAAATTGATAGTGGACTCCTACATATTCTTCTTCTACAGAATAAATTCATCAGGAGAAGCAACTTGGCAGTGTGATGCAATTGCATACAAAATCCATGCAAAATTGACCAATGGCCAAATTTTAAGATTGGTGAGCATTGTCATGCTCCTGACCCAGCCAAAGTTCTCATAATGAAACTGAAGTTGGCGTAGAAAGTTGTTCTGGCTGGGGGTACCACAATTGACTGACAGAAAATTTCCTATGAGGCATCACACTCAACTTTGGCAAACTTTTACAAATCTCTTTATTGATCTCAAGATATTAATTCTTCACTCTTTTGACATTGGCATTCTCTTTTTGATTTTCCTAAGGGGCACAATTTTTCATCACTTCTGATTGTGGCCTGACAGAGAAATAATGTACATTTGAGGAAAAGTGCATCACCATTTGAGTAAAACTGTTCTGGAATGAAGTGTCATGTTCTTTTTAAGTTGATCAGATGCTTTGAAGCAATATTTTTAAGGGATTTTTTTTGTCAGTGAGGTAATTTGTCAGGGTTCAAAAGACAAATATTCCACACCTGGGATTATTTGTCTTTGAATATTCTGTCACCCATCCTATGAGCCCATTCATTCACTCCTCAGTGCCTTTTTTTCTTCTCCCTGCCATGTGGTAGGCTTATCAAAATCATGTTGTACTGTCCCTCCCACCTATTGAATTGATGTGTTCACTGTATGAGAAATGCATCATTACATTTAAACTTGTGCATTTTTCTTCTTTCAAATGGATGTCTGATCACTGACTTGGATGGTAATTAATTCAGACAAAATCATCCAATCCCCAGATTAACAAAAGTTAAGTTTGTTTTGCACTTCTTTTCAGGCTATATATGCAAGTGTACTTCCTGGAGAGCTGATGGAGGGACACTTCAGGGCACAAATAAATTTCCCGGCTTGGTTCGGGAAGAATTCTCGACGTGGGAAGATGAGTCGTCTCATTCAGGAGCTCCATGCTCACATGAGACTCAGGTCTGCTTTCCTTCTTGACCTTGATGTTTGGTTAGAGTTAAAAATCATAATTTTCTTTCTCTATCCACCCATTCCCTAGGATATCAGGTGGAAGGCAGGCAGTAAACCTTGACTATGCAGAGAAGCTGAAGGAAGCAATAGCAGAGCCTCTGGTTAACCATGGACAGGAGGGAATTCAAGAAACCCTGAATTTCCTTGAGGAATATTCTTTGTTGCGTGAGGATCTTGAGTCCCTTGCAGAAATCACAACATGGCCTGGGTCCCATAACCCTGATCCCTTCTCGAAAGTTGACTCTAAGGTCATTCAGAAATCATGTATCTGCATCCAATCAATATGTATTTTCAGAGGATGGTATCCTGTTGTTCGTAATTTCCTTCTTTGTGCAGGTGAAGGCAAGTTTCACTCGTGCATATAACAAGTCAGGAAGACTGAATCCCTTTGCAATGGAGGGGAAGAAGAAGACAAAAAGAGTACCAGAATTCAGTTCTGAAGATGGGATGGAGGAGGATGAAGCTTTAGAGGAGGAGGAAGATGAAGAAGATGAAGATCTTCCACCTACTATCAAGGTTGATCTTGTGTCTCCATGACTCTCTAAGGCCTCACAGATGACAGTACCATGTCTTTCATGCACTAACATGACATGAACTAATTCTCAGGTGAAAGGAGGAAGAGGTGGAGGTAAGAAGCCTGAGTCTCAGGTAAAAGGAAGAGGAGGAGGAAAGAAGTCTGAGACCGGAGAACTGAAGGCTGGGCCTTCCAGCAGTGGGGAGAAAAGCAGGGGAAGGGGACGGGGACGTGGACGCATGCAATAGTGATTTCCATCCCTTTTTGTTTCTCTTAATTTTTATTTTTCTCCTTTTCACTGCATGATTCTGAAATACAGGGCAGGCTTGATTTTTATTTGGTCAGATTTCATCTGCTTCATTTCATAGAGCCAAAAATTATTTTTTGTGGAGAGTGGTACATGACCCACTCTGCATGCTGCAGTTGACAGAGACTAAATTCTCTGTGATGTGGTCAGAGGAAAGTTGTCAATGTCAGAAAATTGACATTTATGAATAAGTGCAATAGTACTTGTAAGGTGATTGTTCTACTTATACTACTTGTACTATTCACTTGAGAGTACTGTATTAACATAGCCAGCACTCAGTCCTTTCAGACAGATTCCAAAACCATGGCCAAAGTTCTAGTATGTGGGCAAGTGGATGAGGGGAAAGGAGAAGCTCTTGTGAAGAAAGTGCAGTCAGTAGTGAAAAAATCTGGACCCTTTGAATTTCTTGTGTGCCTTGGATGGTATGAACATGATCCAGTGTTACAGAGGATCCTGAGTGGTGAGACTAAACTATTGATGCCCCTCATGATATTGGGTGGAGATCCCTCAAAGGACACAGACAACGTCACCTTTCTTGCTGACAGTGGTGTCATCAAGACCCCTGCTGGCATTCTAGTCGCCTATCAAACTGATGTGGCCCTTGGTGATGATATCTCCCAGTGTGATATGTTCATATCACGTGAGACTGACTTGGGTCTAGCTCAGAAACTTTCAGCCAAGTATCATTTTTCATCTTCTAAGGAATCCTTTGAGGAATCTTTGCTTGGAGCGCTGCGCCATATCAGTCTTCCTCTTGTAGGTTCTCCTCAAGCTGAAAAATGGATCTATGCCTTTTCTATGGCACCTGTGAGATCACAGGTGCCAGCAAAAACGAAGAACATGAAGATCCTTCTCTGTGGAGATGTGCAAGGGCAATTTGAAACATTCTTAAAACGAGTCATGTCTGTGAATTCCAAGAGTGGACCATTTGACTTGCTGCTTTGCGTTGGGAACTTCTTTGCATCAGCCACAAAGGAACAAGACGTGAAAGTAGATATTCCTGTGCCCACATACATCCTTGGTCCAAACAGTGCTGAGGTCACCCATCTTTTCAAGGACATCGAAGGTTATGAAATGGGGTCAAACCTGACCTACTTGGGTAAGTCTGGTATTCTGACCACACCAACCGGACTCAAAATTGCATATCTGAGCGGCATTGAAGCGACGACATCCTCTCCTTGCACCTTCACTTACGGAGACCTGAAACGCTTTGAAGTGGAATGTCAACTGAGCGTCAGTGCTGGTGTTGACATCCTTTTGACTTCACCCTGGCCAAGGGATGTGACCAGATATGCAGCTGATGTCAATTACGAGCATTCGTCCGGTCTGGTGTCGCACCTTGCAGTCGCTCTGAAGCCACGCTACCACTTTGCTGCTCTCAATAATGTGTTTTACGAACGGCTGCCATATCGGAATCACATAGTTCTGCAGGAGCAAGACCGGCCCGTGACCCGATTCATTGGCCTGGCCGCTGTTGGGAACCGGAACAAAGACCGCTGGCTCTATGCTCTGAACTTGACTCCTATGTGCCATTTGGATCTGAAGGAGTTGCGCCGACAGCCCCCCGATGTCACAGAATCACCTTACAAGAGTCTCCCCGCTCCCGTGAAGGAGTCAGTGAAGGAAGAGGCCCGTCAGCAGTTCTTTTATGACATGAGTTCCCCTCGGGGACGTGGCAGAGGGGGAAAACGAGGTCGTGATTTCGCGCATGAAGGACACGGAGGCAAAAGGGGCCCTCCCCAGTCCTACCAAAAGGGTCCATGTTGGTTCTGTCTCTCCAACGCCGAGGTGGACAAGAGTCTCATCGTGAGCATAGGTGAAAGCGTGTACATGACCCTGGCCAAGGGAGGCCTCCTGGAGGATCACATCCTCCTCATACCCATCGATCACGAACAGTCTCTTTCTGCACTCTGCCCCGAGACTCAGAGAGAAGTGGAAATGTTCAAGGTGGCCCTCCAGCAATTCTTCTCCAAGCAAGGAAAATCCATTGTGATTTTTGAACGCAACTACCGCACCTCCCACTTGAATCTCCAGGTGGTGCCCATCCCCAAGTCCAAGGAAGCCAAGTTGGAATCAGCAGTTCAAGATATAAGCACTCGGTATGAGATGGAATTGGTCCAATTGCCTGAATTTGCAAGTCTGAAGCAGATTGCCCCACAGGGGGTGCCATATTTCTACATGGAACTCCCGGGAGGGAAGAGGCTTTACTATAAAATCCAGTCTCGGTTCCCTCTTCAATTTGGTCGGGAAGTGTTGGCCCACAAGGATGTGTTGGACCTGGAAGACAGAGTGGATTGGCGAGCCTGTGAAATCCCGCGGGAAGTAGAGGATTCCTTGACCAAGAAATTCCGGGATGCCTTCCAACCCTTCGATCCCAGTCAGTCCCAGAACTAACGATCTTTGAGGCTTGTTGTGATTGATGAAATGCCTTTTTTGTTCTCATAGACCGTGTGAAGGACCAGCATGTTCACCAGTTCCTATTTTTCCTAGTTGGGAATGTTGTATCTTACGAAGTATTGTAACGGAAAATTTTAAATATTGATCCTTTCACGGACCTTATTTTGAAGAATAAAAAATGTCTTCCCTTGGAAATAAAATTACTGGAAAATATTATTTGTGAAATTTGTTGACGTTTATGAACTTGTACTTGAGTCGTATGGTTTCCGAAATTAATATGGTCATTAATTAATTTTGACCGGGTTCAGCAACTGAGTTCACGAGTTGCGATCGAAAACCGGGAGCCCCGAAGATCCGGACGTTGGCGAGCTCTACTACGTCAACTGGTGAGTGGTGACCCACCTATTTTCTGGGAAGTATTAGTCCAGCGTGGGAGTGATTCACGCCAAGTGTGGCAGATGCTGTTAGAGTACACCTCAAAAGTCACTCCTACCTTTCGTAGTTTGCTACCTGAAGGTCTCTTAGGAGCTCTTGGTTCGTCATGCTCGGCAACCCCTTTCCACACGACTAACCATACTCGAGAAAGCGTCCGTTGCCTTGTGTACTCAACGGTGCGTCTTTACAAGAAATAATCAAATAAACCTACTGCAAACGGAAAAATGTAGGCAACTGATCAGTGGTGGACAGTGGAAGTCAAAGTGCCTATGAGAAATCTGGGCCGAACGCGTATAATCCTGCGATTTGTATTTCTGTAGCCGTGCATTGTAACGTCTCTAAGAAGGTTCTGTTCGTCGTGCAACACTTGTAAGTCATGTGAACTTCACAAAAGTTAAGTTAATATTATTCACGCTTGAACTCGATGAATCCCTACTGAATTGTGCGTGTGGATTAAAAGGCAAAGTAAAATGCCTCGTCTCGTAGTTTAGTGCATATACGAGGTGTGATCAAAAAGTTCGGTGAATGATCTCACTAACTAACGAACGCGTGGTGGTGGAGGAATGTCAGTGGGCGGGGCTTATTACGGCAACCCTCCCTCATGGGCATGTTGAGTCTTGACTGGTTATCGCACTCCAGTGCGCCGTGAGCTTCATTTGTGTTAGCACGTGTTTGTCGCGTTCTTCGAAAATGTCGCATTTCGAGCAGCGTGCAAACATAAAATTTTGTTTTAAGCTTGGCAAGACAGCTACAGAAACACACGAAATGCTAATGACAGTCTAGGGGGATGATGCTGTAACAAAAAAGACTGTTTTCAAGTGGTTTGAAAGGTTTCGACAAGGAAATGAGTCGCTGGAAAACGAAGAAAGAAGCGGTCGCCATCAACATCGCGAAACGATGGAAACATCGCCCAATTCCGTACTCATCCGATCAAACCGACGTTTAACCATTCGAGAACTAGCTGAAGAGACCGGTCTTTCATTTGGTTTAGTTCAGTCTATCTTCACCGACCATTTGAACATGAAACGCGTCAGCGCAAAGTTCGTTCCGCGTATCCTCACAGACGAGCAAAAAGAAAATCGAGTTCTCCTTTCAAAAGAGTTGCGGGACCGAGCCGTTTCGGATCAAACATTCTTATCGAAAGTGGTAACAGGTGACGAGACGTGGGTTTATGGTTACGACCCGGAGACGAAAGCACAGAGCTCCCAGTGGAAGACACCCGAGTCGCCAAGATCGAAAAATCGAGATCGCGCGTGAAGGTCATGCTCATTACGTTCTTCGACATCGAAGGAATAGCTCACTCAGAATTTGTTCCCCGAGGTACTACCGTTAATTCGTCCTTTTACCAAGAAGTTTTGAAACGTTTGAGGGAGGCAGTCAGACGGAAACGACCAGAAAAGTGGCAGAACGGATGACTGCTCCATCACGACAACGCGCCCTGCCACACGTCATCCGGCAATTTTTGGCGGGTAAAAACATCCCCGTCGTACCGCAACCGGCGTATTCGCTCGACTTCTCACCGCGTGACTTCTGGCTGTTCCCCAAAGTGAAACGAACCATGAAAGGAAAGCGATTTGGCACCGTCGAAGCCATCAAATCCAACACGACTTCGAAGGCGATTTCAAAAGAGGAGTTTCAGAAATGTTTGAACCAGTGGCACGAGCGGTGGAACAAATGTGTATGAACAGGAGGGGAGTACTTTCAAGGGGGTTAATCACGTAAGCGTCTATTGTTTAATAAAAATTTATTTATTCCATCATTCACCGAACTTTTTGATCACACCTCGTAATTAGCACCTCTCTCCGCCCTTGCCCTGTGCAATCACTAAAGGGAGTTCAATATGCGGAAAATATATGTTATTGGTACCAGAGTCTACTTTCAAATATTTTTCTATCGCATCCGGAAATACAACCCGTTCAGCAGCTAGTTTAACGTGAGTGAAGAATCGTTTCAAGAGACCAATATTCATCAAGTATACTGGAAAAATGGCGGGGTTATTCCATGTCAATGAAGAAAACGAAAATTGACCTGCCCCAAGTTTTTAAATATGGTACGACCGGTATGATCCATTGACAAAACTAACCCCCACCTAATTTCGGCTTTCTCGGTCAAATTTGCTTTGAAGTACAGTGATTTGAGTATTTCCAAATTATACCGATATCTGTCCAGTTGTTGCCACTCGAGTGCTTGTTTAATATTTGTTCAAATTGCCTTGAAAATATTAACTTGGCATTGTTTTAAGCTCTTCTAGTGCCACATGAATTTTAAACGAAAGCAGAGCTATGGAGGTCTGACCTTTGACTTCGAATTTCCAGAAAAATTAAAAATTTCCCTCAATTTGGTACGTCACATTTCAATTTAAAACTGGAATGAGATCCAAACATACGCACAGGAACGTGTCAGTACGTGATCGAACGATTCCTAGAGAATTTGCTATAAAAATCTGGATCCAACCAGAAATTTTTGGATAAATCTTCAGCTTGTGGTGGTTAGAGCTATCAGCAGTGTTCTAGAAAGCTTTATTTAAAAGGAATTATACTGGGTGGGCAAAAATGGTTCCAGATTTCATAATGAAGTTACAGGATTACCATACAATATAGTGTTGAATAATGAAATGCATTAAGCAGGCGAAATTAATATTTAAAAAAGGACTATATAACTTATGTATCCTTTTTTCCGTTGCAGGTTCAAAATGCCTCAATTAAGTTTACATATAAAAAATCAGTAATAGTGACACAGCGTGCATTCAAGGAGTTTTCGGGATGCGAGTTGCCAACAGCTATGACAATGCGACGAATTCTGACCCCTTTTTCCTTCAATCTGATCAGAATCTCATAGAACGACTCGGTGGCCGAACGGAACCAAGTCTGCGATTATTTTCTTGTTCGACGCGTTCATCTTCGCTCCAAGCTGCGACAGGCGGGAAGAAAATAGAAAGGAACTTCGTCCCGGGCCCGGAAACGGCGATGCGATAACGCGGAGCCGCACGGCCATGCGAATCGGCCTCCGACATGCATCCCTTCGTGCAATCGTCGATAAAGTAACCACCGTGAGAGCTGATGTTTATCTGCTTCTACCGCTGCTTCCTGTACGCAAGACGTGTGAATGCTGCCAGCGCGGTGGAAGTGGATTCGCACGGCAAGGCCCCCCAAGTAGTCCACTTTTCTCCATAAAAAAAATGGCAACCCCTAATTAGCCCAAGTACGACTGATCGAGCCATGGACCCTTCGTTCACTGACGCGATTTGAAATATCAGTAATTCCTCTCTTTCCTCATCTAGCGCACTTTATTTCAAGGAAATGCGTCAAATATTTTCCCCGAAATTATACTTCATTGCGCAAGGTAGAAAGTCATTTTCGCGAGCGTTATTATGTTGACATGCGAAGATACGCAACCTTCATATTTCTTTTTTTTTTCAAGGCAGCGTTCTTTAAAAGCTAAGATAGCATCAGCCATAAATCAAATTCGGATTGAATTCGACAATAGCAATGCGACGCGACCTCCTCCCTCTCGACCCCCTTCTCTCCCTCCTTCTCTCCCTCCCTCTCTCCCCCCTTCTCTCCCTCCTTCTCTCCCTCCTTCCCGACCTCCTTCCGTTTGGATGAACGCCCAGCCCTCCACTAGTCGAACGATGTTTATCGCAGCGTGGAAGAAAATACGGGCGCAACTGGAGTTTTTAGCCCCGAGCCGTAAAAAAAAAATATTTGTCTTCCAATTGCACGAGTACGTCTTAAGTAGTACCGATGCAGCAACGAAACGTGAAGGGTCAACATTTTTTGGTCCAAGAGGAGAGAAAAGCTTCTTTTTTTCCCCCTTTCTTGACCTTCTGTTTGTTCCGCCTTTATCTCCTTTCGGCCTTCGCTGTCTCGGCTTCATTTGTATCTGTCAGTTTAAGAAACACCAGACCCCTTTCATTTGCTTTTTTTTTCTGGGAAGATCCATTCGAGGAAAGGTTGCATCCTATCCATCCAGTTGAGGTTTCGAGCTACTGCCTGTCGCAATATAAATTACATAAATTGCTTTTTATTCTACCTGAAAATGAATGAAAATTCTACCAAGAATCCTTCGAATAATATGGCAATTCATCGAACGCGTGGAACTCGCCTGCACAAATTCGTCCTGGCCCCCCTATCTTTTGAACCCGTTCGGATTTTTCTTAGCCGAACGCGTCGAGAGCCTGGCTAGCTTGCCCGTTCGCATGTTTGCGCCGGTGAACGCACCGAGATATTACGTCACGGTTGAAGTGCTCTTCCGGATGCTAATCCCACGCCCATCAGCCGTTCGTGAGTTGTCAGTCACAAACGAGTGCCACGTTTACGACTCGTTCGTGACAAACCACTCGCGAACGAGCACGATGCGACCGGCTGTTGGAGCGATCGCCAATCCGAATCGAGGCGTCGAGATTCCCAGGATCTCGACACTCCGATGTGTCGTGCGTGTCGACTCTCGTGGGTCGTCGGTCGGCGTCAGATCGAAGATGAATCGGACAGGGGTCGTTCTAGACCGACGGACGGGGGAAAGAAATAAAAACACAATGGGGTAAGTGGAGATGCGGAAACCGG